ATAAAAAAAGAAAGAAAGAAAGGACTTTGAATGTAGCTCAGTGTGAAGGCCCTGGGCTCTATCCCCGGTACTGCAAAAACAAAAACAAAAAACCAAGAATGTGGGAAATCCCTGAGAGTAAACTTAAAATATTAAAACACTATGGCATCATAAATGCACAATGCTTGGCTTGTACCCCAGATCTGTTGAATCAGAAATTCTGGGAACAGATTCTAGCAATCTACTTCTAACAATTTCGCCATGATGATTCCAATGCCTGCTAAAGTTTGGGAACCACCTGATCTAGACAGACTATGTTATTTAAAATACTACCTGCCTCGCAAGCGCAAGGCCCTGAGTTTGATCCCTGGTACCAAAAAATAAATAAATAATAAAATACAATCTGTGAACCAACAGCATTGGCATCACTGAGAATTTATTAGAACTGCTAAATATCAAGGGTCACCTTGATTTACTAAAAGAGAATGGAAATTGCATCAATTTTTCCCAGTGACTTGGACTATAAATCCAATCTCATTAAAGTTTGAGAAGTGCCATACTTGTCCAATGGTTCCTGTTGTGAGCTGAATTATGACTCTCTACAGTTTGTATGTTGAAGTCCTAACTCCCAGAGCCTCTGAATAGGACTGCATTCTAAGATATGATTTTGAAAGAGGTGATTATGTGAAAGCAAACTTAGTATCCTCAAAAGAAAAGAAAGTTAGGACACGGACATGCACAGAAGGATAGATGCATGAAGACACATTGTGAAGTTGGCCATGCGGGATCCAAGGATAAGCCTCAGAAGGAACTGACCTTAACGATAGGGCTTCTAACCTCCAGAACTATTAAAACAAATTTTTATTCTTTAAGTCATCTTGTCTATTGTACTTTGTATAGCAGTCCCAGCACGTCAATACCATTTTTAAACTCAGATTTTTATTGGAATTATCTGGAAAGTTTTAAAAATATTGATACTTAGATCCCATTCCCAAGGTTTCCAGTTTAAGTGGTTTGAGGATCAGCCCATAAAATGGGATTTTAGAAAGCTCCACAGGTGATTTTTAATCACCTTGCAGCAGAGTTTGCAAGTCACTGATAATGTACACTCATCTTTTGACTCATGAAAAACCTAAGACATAGGCCCTATAATTGTTAAAATTCATTCTCTTGAAATTTGTTTATCTAATTTCTCATCATTATTTCCCCAAACCTGGCTCTTTCAGTAAATATTTGAGGCTCTTATTGAGAAAGAGAGAATCGAGAAGCAAAGCTGGCAATTATACATGCTCTCTTCTTCTCATATATCAATTTTAAAGAAGCTTTTAATGAAAATGTTTCTACAATTTTACAAAAAATTTTCATTGTGTTTTTTTTTGTGTGCTAGTGATCATCTTGAACATTTTTTCCCTTAGTAGTACATTCTCCACAGCACAGGTACAGAAACCGCCCCCAAAAGAAAATCTGTTTAGGGGCCAGGGATTTAGCTCAGTGGTTCCAGCGCCTGCCTTGCAAGTGCAAGGTCCTGAGTTCGATCCCTGGTACCAAAAAAAAAAAAAAAAAGAAAGAAAGAAAAAGAAAATCTGTTGGGGTAAGTTTTCAGTACCCAGTACCTCTCCCTAGGTGCTTCCTGTTCTACCTGTCAAGCTGTTCTCAAAGATCCTAGGATCCAAATTAAAGACTCTTAGATAGATCTTGTGAACCAGTACATCAGAGGATAGGTGCCAAACGACTGAGGTTTTTTTTTTCTTGCTAAACCCTTTCTCCATTTTATATGTCCCTGTGAGGTTTTAAAGCAAATGACAGGTATTTATTGAATGTTTATATTGACTTATACTTAATATAATGGAAACTATATCACATAAATATATATACTAGCTGTAGTTTCTAAAATTTTATGCACTAGATTACTTCATTTTACATTCCTATAATGAAATAACTGAGGCTGGCTGATGTTACAAATACAAGCTGGTTATTTAGCTGATAGTTCTGGAGGTTTAAGGACCAAAATCTGATGATGGCCTTCTTGCTGGCAGAGTCCTGAGGCAGTACAAGGTATCACATTACAAAAGATGGGGAGTTTACACACTTGTGTCCTCTGGTAGTTTTCATTCCCTCTTCTTATAAAGCCACCAGGATTCAGTATTGGGGGCTCCACCCTGATGACCTTACTAATCCTAATCACCCCCAAAAGCACCACTTGTAAGCACCATAGGTGAATCAAGTTTCCACTTGCTCAACACCTCACAATGGGGATTAAATTTCAACACATAAAGCCTTGGAGAACATACTCAAACTATACCTAAACTATAGCACACACTTTTCAAAAGTGATTATTTTATGCCATTAAAATACCTGACACTTTGAGGTGTAATCTGTTCTGAATGTGCTTTTGCTACCTGGGATAATATTTAATATTTTACTTGGGCCAATCTTTTATATGATTACAAGTTTAAATAGACCTATTTTCACTATAGTCTAACAGACTTTCTGATTATCTCCTGAAAGCCATCCCTAACCCATAACCCCTCTCCATAAACACTTTCCATGAAAAAAGCTAAAAATCCTGATACTTTGCCAATATCCTTTGCCAGTAAAAGCAGCTAGGTATCTCAGATCCAGCCAATGAGATAAAATGGAGATTATGTTAGGGAATTTTGAGGAAAGATATTTCTTCTCTAATAACAGAGAGTTGCACATGGAAAAGTACTCTGCCCCTTTCTATCCTGTTTTCTGTCTTTAAACATGGGAGTAATGATATAATACCTGAAACTATTAGATCCATCTTGAAATCATAAAAGTAAGGTACTGACCCAGAGCCCTGATATTGTTGGGCAAATGAGATCACCTGCTGTCAGATTTCTCTACTTTTAAAGCCACATTTACTTGGTTTTTCTGTTATTTTCAGCAAAATACATATTTCAGTTAATATACAGATGTTTTTCATAAACACAATGTAGTCTGAGGATACACACTTTGAGCACCATTGAATTAAAAGAACTGTTTTCTAGAAGTGAAGAAAAAGCTTGCCCAGATGGTATTCAAGAAATGTTAAAGCCCAATCTAGACCACTAAATTCATTAATTCATATTCTCAACAGACTCCTACTTTACTAGGCTTCATTAATACAAATATGAGTAAGACTCTACCTGCCTTCAAATAAATTTTACTATCCTTAGTGAAACTGGTGTGTAAACCAGAGGTCACAAGGCAGTTAAGACCTATAATAGAGGTATACAGAGAAGAGGAGGTATGTTAGCAGAGAGGTGGGTAAAGTAACTCATTTTGAAGGGCTCCCTGAGGGGGGAATTGGAAGAAGATAATTAAAGATTCCATTCAATAGGACACACGTGTCCACACATAGTTTCTCTGGTGTGAAAAACTAAAACTGTAAATAAAGATCAAAATGTATAATTGATATTGTGAAATAGGAAGAAAAGGTCTAAAGGAGTAAGGGAAATGGGAGGGGAAGGGGAAAGGAAAGAAGGGAAAAGAAAAAATATGATAAAAGGAAAAAAATTGAAACAAAGTATTTGTAAATAGGACAGGGAGGAGGGGCGAAGGGAGGGCAGGGAAATGGGGAAAAAAATAAGAACCAAGATACAGCATGTAGAGATACAAGATTCCAATGACGAATGTTACTGTATTGTATACCTAAAATGTACCGATAAATAAACTTAATGGAAAAAAAGAGAAACGATTCCATTCAACACTAAGGCATTGTCTCTGTGACCTAAGTAAACATCTAGTTTCATTAATTCCTCTGGGGGGGGGGTCTTTTCTATGACCACAGACCATAAACTAAATGACAGTTCCAGAAAGAATCATTTATAATCAGGGACTACTCAACCTGCAGGAAAGAATACTTCACCCATCTTTCTCTCTCACACAAAGCAGAATAAAGACATGGTTTCTTGCGGGGGGGGTGGTGGTGGTGGTGGTGGTGTTAATTTACCCCCATATCAGCAGGGATATTTTCTAAAACAAAATAATTCTGTGTTGCTAATTCATATCACCTTTTAACACTATCAAAACAAACAATATTGATGCTAAAGCAATCAGTTACCAACAAGAGACAAATTCATGCATACCAGGAGGTTCTGTCCTCTGCTACTTTTAAGCAAAAATGTCAGCAAAAATTAGTGCCCTTTTCTTGGTCACAGAAAACATTTTGCCACTTAATGGTAGAGAAAGGGGAAACACCCTCCCTAAATTGATTTTTTAAAAAGCAGTTAGTATTAGCAACACACAAACACACACACACACACACACACACACGCACTGTAGAGAGAAAACTAACATGTAGCTTTGCATTGGTAAATCCTTACAAGAAACAGAATCGGTTCTGATTGGTTTGCTTGCAAAGGAAATAATAGGTTTTGAATCATCTCTGAAAAAAAAATAGACCAGCAATATTCTTCTAAAATTTTCCTGTAATACATTAAAAATAAAATATTAAATCGAGTCCTTCAATGAATTGTTTCAACATTATTGTGGCAGTCACATGGACTGTGCCTCTGGAACATTTGGATTCTGTCAGTGGTGATGAGATAGGTATGCAATAACTGCAGTTACCTTACAGCTCTGGCATGTCCTGGGCTGGGGAGGGTGGTTCCACTATCCCAACATCTGCCACCTTGCCCAGAATGAAGAAACCGCCCTGACAAATGATCCCACTTCAGTCCTCAAGCTCCCCTGTCCCCATCTCTAAGAATCCCCCAGGAAGAAAGTGGGGGAGGAGGGAAATACGAAACAAATCAAACATTCCTAGTCCCATAAACGATGCATCCGGACATTTGAAGGTACTGGGGAAATTAAGATTACAGCTCGAGAGTTGGGTTTGTCTTCGGTCTAAGAATGGATTTGATATTCTCTGCTGCGTTTTTTAAATCTAACTTTCTGTATCCAACGGAGAGAATCAGAGAGAGGAAGCAAAAGCAGACAGTACCAGAGACTGGAGAACTCCTCCACGTCCTCCTCCAGCCACCCAAACTGAAGGCATCAAAAGACAAGAAACTTACCTGGCCCTCACCTAGACGGAGAGGCTGCCGGTCAAAGCTCCGGAGAGGGTCAATCTGCAGGGGGAAGTCTCTGAAGCTGGAGCTGAAATGCAGACCCTGGGAGGGAGGCGAAGTCCCTCTCCTAGTCCAGGAGAAAGAAGTGACTCATGCGCTCAACGCCAGCCTCTCGGCGCCCAGCGCTCCTCTCCCTCCCCGCCCCCAGCAGGTACCGGGACCGAGCGCTGAGAGACGTCTCCAGCCTTCCCTTTCTACAGAGCTCACTGCCCGACGCCCCCAGGCGGCGGCGCCAGAGCCGCGCCAGGCACAGCCCGCCCTGCAGACAACCTCCCTATGCCCGTGGACCAGAGCCTCTGTCCCGGGTCTCCCTCTCCTTGGTCTCCTGTCACCCCAGGTCCCGCTGCCCCCAGGCTGTCCATCTGAGCTCAACACACTTTCCACTTGCCATCCTCACATGGCATTTGCCAAGCCCACCCCCCCACAGGCTGTGCCAAAGGCACAAACTGCCCTGCATAGCCCCCTACTACTCCATCCTGGATCTCTCCATTGTGGTGGCAACAGAACCCACCCAGCCCAGAGACAGGTGTAGCCAGCTCCTCAAAGTTCCAAGAGTGTCCTTTTCCAAATATCTTTCTCCTGGATCCCTAACTTGCAGGTCCTACTCCTCCCCATTCCCCTCTGCCCACCTGACATGCTTTCCACCTGCCAGCAGGGTATGGCAATGTCCAGGCCTTTCCACAGTTGGTGTCCATCTATCCCTGGGGTTTCAGTACTGCCCACCACAGCCAACACACAAGTTACTCTCACCTCTTAGGTGGCCTCTTCTCTGAGATCTACCCAGGTCCTAGGAAAGCACTGTGGCAAATGATGAAACTTTGATACTAAGGGACAAGCAGCCAAGGCTCTACCCAAGCTGGGTTTCATGGTGATGCTTCCTTGGGCCAAAATACAGTAGGATGTCAGAATTACAGAAGAGACACTACTTCCAGCAAACAAGCTCTGAAATTCTGCCTTGGGACTGGGTGTTTTCTGGCAGAGGTCTACTTGTTCTGGAGTGTGTGTGTGTGTGTGTGTGTGTGTGTGTGTGTGTGTGTGTGATGAGACCACAGTTCTGCCTGTATCCTATTAAAACTGAGTGGAAGAGCATGTAGAATAAGAGTTCCTTTAGTCTTGGCAAGAGTGAAAGATTCTAATTGAGAGAGAAACAAGAATGGGGAGAAGATGGAGCATTATCCTAACTTGAGGACAGCACTTCAGATGCCACATCTCCTAATATAACTCTAGTAAAGAATTGAAAGCCTTGCCTATTCAGAAAAGTGGGCTATCTTCCTCCCTCCACCAGCATGCACTTCTCTTTATATCACATTATTTTCTGAGTACAACTGTATAAACTTAGATGTCCCCTGCATCAGTAAGCGTTCACTAGAGGAACAGATTTAATATAATATTTGTTATGGCATATATCTAGATGTGCTACTGAAGATTCATGCAGTCATGGGTCGGGCATTTGGGAGGTGACTGGATCATGGGTGTGTGACATTGAATCATGGAAGTATGCTACTGGGTTAGTCCACTGATGGGTTTAAAACTGAGTGCGATGTTGGGAGGTGAAGCCTGGTGGGAAGAAGTGGGTCACTGTGGGTGTGGCCTAGAACAGTATACATCCCTTCTTTTCCCTTCATTCCTCTCTGTTTCCTGCCTACCCTGCCATGGACTGTTTCTCCTCTGGCATGTCCCTCTGCCATGCTGTCCTGCCTTGGAACAAGCTGACTATGGACTGAAACCTCTACAAACTGTGAGCTAAAATAAACCTTTCCTCCTTTAACTTGTGTCAGGTATTTTGTCTCAGCAACAAGAAAGTAACTAAGACAATATTTTATAACTAAGGCAATATATATGTTTATATAATATATTTAATATATATTTGTATACTACATAAAGGATTTACTAAGTAGGCTTACAACGGCCACCTGAAGAATCAGGGGTGGAAGAATGCAAAATGGCTGTCTGGGCACTGAAGAGTTGGAGGATCCAGTTGAAACTCCAAGTCCTGGAGCTCACTGCAGAGTCCAGTGTGAGTTTGTGTCAGAAAGCTGAAGGGTCTACATTGGAAGGCTGGAGAATCTGCACTGGAAGCCAGAAGAAACTGGAGACGAATGTCCAAAGAGGATGGTGAAGGCTGGGGCTCCACCAAAGAAACAAACAAAAAAAGACTTCCTTCTTCTTTCCTTTTTTATTCCAGGCAGGTGACAAGCCTATTGTTTGCTGCTACCCATAACTGGCGATGGTCTTCCCTCCTTAGTTTGGGGCCTACATGTCAGTCATCTACAGACATACCCAGAATTGTGCTATTCTAATCAGATAATGTTTCTTAATCCATTCAAGTTGGCATCATAATTAACTATCACATCCCCTATAATGGGACTCATGGGGACAAAATTTTTTGTCACCTTCACTTGGAAAATTAAGCTTTATTGAAAGCTCAAAAGTTTACCATCCAGGAACTTTCTACTTTTGCCACCCACTCCCATCTCTATAATTTCCATTTTTCCCTTTGTCTTTTCACTTACTGTTCTTCTTTGTTTTTACCTACTTTACTGAATAACACCACCTCTCAGTTTCTCTATTTCTGTGCTCTAATTCTATGAGGTAGTGTTTCTTTTCCAACTTTATTTGTTCTTCATTTCCAAAGTCTCCCCTAATCTGCATTCTTTCTTGGTGCCCTATTTTCAAGTATAATCTCAATGAAATGTGCTATAGTTTGGATCATGGGTGTCTCTCAAAGGTCCAGTGGCACTCATGAGAAGTGATAGAATCTTTAATAGGGTGTCCTACTGTGAGGTCCCTTAGTCATTGGAGGCATGCCATCTATGGGGACTGTGGTAGCACAGCCCCTTACCTTTTTTGTCTTTCACTTCTTGGCCATGAGGTGAGCAGTTTTATTCTGCACATGTTTCTGCCATGATGTGCTTCCCTTCCCACAGAAACAAGGTCAATTAATGATGAACAGAAACCTCTAAAACTGAGCAAAAACACCTTTTACTTTATAAAATGTTTTCTCTCAGGTATTTGTTATAGTCACAGAAAGTTGACTTAATATAAAGCAATATGCCCTTTTAAATTTTGTTTTCTTTTAAGCTTTAATCAAAATTATTACCTATCAAAAATCCTACATCCCTCCAGAATTTATGTGTGTATACAACACAGTGTGTCCTCTCATCCAAGGTCATCAAGTAGGTATTGTGTTCCGTTCTGAATTTATAGAGATGAACAAGGCATGGGGCTGGGGATTTAGCTCAGTGGTTCTGCCACCTACCCCACAAGCACAAAGACTCGAATTTGATCCCCAGTACCCCCCCAAAAAAGAGAGAGAGATGAACAAGACAATGCCACTGCCATCAAGAATGTGATAATTTGTAATAGGAAGAAAAGGTCCAAAGATGTAGTGGAAGTGGGAGGGGAAGGGGAAAAGAAAGAAGGGAAAGGAAAAGTTATGAGAAAAGAAAAAAATGGAAACAAAGTCTATGTAAATAGGGAAGGGTGCATAGGTAATGGGGAAAAAATAAGAAC